TAACAAATCACAACTAAATACATTTGCAAGCTAGAGTAAACGAGGCAACAACTTTAACCGCACGTACTTACACTTGAGAAATGGAAGAAACCCATCCTGACGTCCATCAGTTACTCTTTACTGATCCTTCCTTTAACAAACTCAGATGAAGTATTCTTTGTAGCATGTAGCTTCCAGAAGTTTCCAACTGCTTGGTTATAATGCTGAGGTTTCATCTTTGGGTAGAGACTCAATATAATATCCATCTGCAGTGTGACTTCAATCGACCGGCATGTTTGTGTGCGTGTGTTTGTGGGTGTGCGTGTGTTTGTGGGTGTGTGTGTGTGTGTCTGGGTTTCTGCGTCAGAGGGCGGGGTCTCAGGTTTGAAATCTCCCGGGTTTGCGCGTGCACGTGAATAACTTGGTTTCGTTCGTACGTCATGGCGAAACACCTAATGAATCGGTATCAAGGCGACTCGTTTGAAGCACTATGAGTCGACTCTTTTATAGATGAATCAACCGTTTTAAACACTGTATTCTTACAGATTTAAGCCTTAGCTGGATACTTCACTTCACTTAGAGCTGTGTTACACACTACATGGAGGGGAATTTTCAAAAACCCATAATATGGGCTCTTTAAAGAGTTCAGTTTTAGTCTCATCAGACCAGAGAATTTTGTTTCTAATGGTCTGAGAGTCCTTCAGATGTCTTTTGGCAAATTCCTGGCAGGGAGTGGCTTCTGTCTACCCACTGATTAGGCCTGATTGGCGGATTACTGCACAGATGGTTGTCCTTCTGTAACGTTCTGCACTGTGCTCATTGAAACTTTTCTGTAACCTCCCCCAGCCTTGTGCCTTGAGACAATCCTGTCTCGGTGGTCTACAGACATTTCCTTTGTCTTCATGCTTGGTTTGTGCTTTGACATGCACTGTCAACCCTGGGGCCTTATATAGACAGGTGTATGCCTTTCAAATCATGTCCAATCATCTGAATTTACCACAGGTAAACTCCAGTTAAGCTGCTGAAACATCTCAAGAATGATCAATGGAAACAGAATGTACCTGAGCTCAATTTAGAGCTTCACAGCAAAGGCTGTGAATACTTACATGTGATTTTTCAGCTTTTTTATTTTTAATAAATTTGCAACAATAAAAAAAAAATAATCTTTTTTTTCACATTGTCATTATTGGCTATTGTGTGTAGAATTTTGAGAAAATAAATAAATTTAATCCATTTTGGAATAAGGCTGTAACATAATAAAATGTGGAAAGAAAGCGCTATGAATACTTTCTGGATGCACTGTAATATTTGTATATGACTGTTCAAGATGACTAATTCTCATTACAGTGCCAGTGTTTTACACCAATTCAAGGCTCATCTCTGGTGAGAAAACAACATTGTAATTCAAAATATAGTATAAAGTATAAACTGATGTTGAAGAATGGCAAAAGAAAACACCAAACAACAAATTAGCACCGCAAAAGATTTATTGCTCCCACATTATTTACAATATTTACAAACCATAAGATAAATTTGAAAAGAACCAAGACAAATAGGAGAGGGAACTGAAGTTTGCGCATGGAAATCAAAGAAATAAATATAACAAAAACATTCCCTTAATCTCCTCCCCAATCCACTAAATAAGAAAATAACAATATGAAAAGAAAAGTCTTCAGCGCAAAGCGCCCTGAACTTACTCTAACTAATAAATAAAAATACAAAATTAGCGCACTTCGCTAACTAGTGTGTCTATACATCAATAATCCTGCGTGCAAATATGTATGTCACGTGACTTACTATGTTGTTCCAGATCTCCCTTGTCAAATCACAGAAGGTTTTGAATGGAGCATTAGCGGGCTATAGATGTAGCAACACACGTCAGAACTCTCAGACAAATCTCACTCAAAGTCATCAGTTACTCACTCAAAGTCAACATCAATAGATCTCAATCAAAGCACACATCAGTAACAGCGACAACGCACACGGACACCACCAAACAGACAACACGCCAAAACAACAACAGCTGATCTCTCCCCGTTGCCGCTTCCGTTTTTAAAGGGCTCTGCAACGAACGCGATTGGCAGAGAGAGAAGTCATCGTCACATGGTTGATTAGGATTGGCAGTCCTGTCAGCCAATAGTGCTCCAAAGTAGGCGGTACCTGAGAAAATGACAGGGCCGGTACAGAGAGAGAGAGAGAGAGAGAGAGAGAGAGAGAGAGAAAGAGCATACACGCAGCAAAACTGTGCGGTTCGTAACAATAAGAACGCACAAAGTTCAGTAAAAGACAATGGGGTGTGGCTTATTGTGCAGCCCCTCCCAAAATTTAAAAATAGCCAGTACCGTTTTGTTTATAATACAGGTTGACTGAAAATGACGAGACGAGCAGTGAGGGTTGTCATCAAAATTATCCATAGGCCTACTATCAAAAGTACGAGAATTTTGAAGTTGATTTGTAAACATTTGTAAATGCTAATTTCATCTCTCTACCATACTGTGAGCTTATACTCTCACTGGCCACTTTATTAGGTACACCTGTCCCACTGCTTGTAATCACGTGGCAGCAACTCAATGCAATTAGGCATGTAGACATGGTCAAGATGATCTGCTGCAGTTAAAACTGAGCAACAGAATGGAGAAGAAAGGTGATTTAAATGCCTTTGAGCATCGTTACTGGTGCCAGACGGGCTGGTCTCACTGAGCCACCATGCCACATTAACACATTCATAACAAAAAAAATTTTTTTTTTAATTACAGAATTAAATCTTAATTTCTTTGCCTTGTTTATTCATCCAGTGATAAACATGTAAACAGTGTTTGCTATAATGTGTCTCTGTCCTTGGTGCTGAAATCACACTTAAGACACTTTATATATTAAAGATTTTGATTATATTAAATTCTTATGCCTTGTGTGTGAAATTGTCACAATATTACATAGAACAGGCCTTTTATTCAAGTGGTGCTCGCTGCAGAGCCATTTGAGGAGAGGTGAGCTCCAGAGAGGGGGAGCTTAAGCTTGAGCTCCACCTTTTTTGCACTTCTTCTACGAGTGATGTCACTGGGGGTAGGGTTAGGGGTGGGGTTGGTGTACGCATTAAAACAGCTTACAGGAGGAGGAGCGACAGCTCATGCTCCCCCTCTCTGGAGCTCACCTCTCCTCAAATGGCTCTGCAGCGAGCACCCTCTCCTTTTATTTAGTGCCACTAGGCTAAAGCACGAGGTCAAATGCCACACCACTCCAGTTTAGTGAGCTGCTATCACACTTTAGTCAGTGCGATCACACTTCAGTAAAACCTTCATCCACAGAAGAGCAAGCTTTTCATTCTTATTAGGTGACTGCAAGTGGCCTGAGCTCAAAGTCTAAAACCACAAGTGTGGAAAGTTTAATGCTACAGCTTCTACCAGCATCAGATGAAAAAATATATTTAAAAGTTCACACTATACTGCAACTGTCTTAAAACGCATTTGATAATCCTTTTATATGTGATATTATATATTATTATTGTAAATTAATAATAATATTACAATATTAATCTATAATAATAAAATATAAAATAATTTCCAAAATGCTGTTTAAACAGTATAAAGTGAAAAATTTCATTTTCAATAAAAAAATGTAATTATATTAATATGCACCTCTTTCAATTTTTATAAATCAAACATAAGATGAGATACAGGACTTGAGATACAGGAAATGATGCATGTTAAAATATACATTTGTTGAAATGTAACGCAGATCAGAAATATGAAAATAAATCAACTACAGAATTTTACAGTACGAATTCTTCCCCTTTTGCATTAAATATGCATTTTTAAAAACTTGTTGCAGAATTACAATTTTCTGATAGTGTAAAACAATCAATATTGGATGTTAATAAATATAAAATAGATTACAATCAATATTAAATTAATTAAATTAATTTATGTAATAAAATGACGGCTATTTTAAATATAAAACATGTAGCTGTGTGGTTGTCCTCTGAATTTCTCCTCACTAAACCTCTGAACTGCTACTTCCTGTCAGTCCCTACAGGAAGTGATACTTTGTTTCCAGCCACTGACATTGTATTTGATAAAAGGCTCCTTTAGTTCAGACATGGTCATGTGGTCTGGGGTGTAAATGGTCTGCAATCAATGTGTAAAAATAAATTATACTAATTCAAGCAGCTTGCACGCATGTAGCTTATTAAACAATGCTCTAATAACATGATGACCATGCAAAATTGCTTGATATTATTTAGGCAGTAATATACTCATTATCAGCATGCACTCTTCATTGTGGATTTCTCAGTTTGTGTTAAATAAACATCACACACTATATATATATTCTTAAAAATAAACTATGGCAGAAATATCTCCCCCTATTGGCTGACTTTATTTCAATTAATTTATTAAAGGGATTGTTCACCCAAAAAATGAAAATGTACTTATTATTTATTCACTCTCAAGTGGTTCTAAACCTTTATAACTTTCCTTCAGCACAAAAGCAGATTTTTTTAAACTGTTGACTTTTATAGTGGGAAAACTAATACTGAGGAAGTCAATGGTTACAGAATTTCAACATTTTTCAATATATCTGCTTTTGTTTTCAACCGATGAAGGAAACTTTTAAAGGTTTGTAACAAGTGAAGGGTGAGTAAATGATGACAGAAGCAATGCTTTTACACTAGGATGTGTACTGTACAAACAGTTAACTGTCTTCTTTATGTGAATTTATTTATCTACATAATCTTATTAACAGCATTCTTTGAGCTTTTTTTTGCACTTAATTTACAAGATAAATAAGACACAACTGAGTTCTACCTTTATTAAATGGTTCTGATATTTTCTCTGTGCAAAAACAAGTAAGTTTGTTATTATTTTACACTTTTTAAGACAACCCTCCAGACGATGTTTATACAGTGTAGATTGCATCCTGCTTTAATAGAGATGGAGCATGTCATGTAAAAGCCACATCCTCTTCTCATAAATAAAGCTCAATTTGTTTGTTCTCAGTTTAGTCGATTCGACTGGAACGTAAACATGAATTTGTCTGGACTACACCCGCTGATGCTCTTTGTAATAGGTAAATACACTTTTACAATATTTTCTCTTTGAATTTGCGTAACAGAAACAGAAAGATCACGTTTACCTTAAATTTAAATATGCAGTAGAGTATATAACAACATGGCTACTGTGCAGTACATGACAAAAGCACATATTTTATATATCAAATTTATGTTATTGGTAACATTTTACAATAAAGTTGTATTAGTTAATGTTAGTTAACACATTTATTAACATGAACAAACAATGAACAATACATTTTTTACAGTATTATGTTAGTTAATGAAAATACAGTCGTTCTTTGTTAGTGTTTGTTAACTCACAGTTTATTAATGTTAACAAATATGAATTTGGATGTTAATAATGTATTAGTAAATGTTTAACAATGATTAATAAATGCTGTATTGTTCATTATTAGTTCATGCTAGTAAATAAATTAACTGTTCTTATTGTACAGAGTGCTCATGTTATTTATACGTTTATCATTATTTTTGGATTCCAATTTAAAAACACTGCCATGCTATTTTCACAAAGTAAAAAATCTCAAACCTTCAAAATATGTTTTAGGTTTGGTGTTTTTTTTTTCCACATTGCGGAAGTCTGTCTAATTCTAATTGCAATTCTAACAACATCTTGTCATTAAGAGAGAATAAAATTATTAATTACTTAACAGTTTTAAAGGAAAAAGTACATCCTGAAATTGAAATAATATCATCATTTACCTACTCTCAAGTTTTCTTACGCTCAACATATAAAGTTAAAGAACAATTTTTAGCCCTACTCTAATTTTTGACCTCTTGATTTTTTTTTATCCTCTTCTGATGATATTTTTTTTTATCCTGGTGAAAATGTTCTTAGTTTTATTTCAGCTAAAATTAAAGCAGTTTTTAATTTAAAAAAACATTAGTACTATATAGTACTATATATATAGTATATATACACATATATATACATACATACATATATTGATTGTCTACAGAAGAAACCATCTTTATACAAGGATTTGCCTAAATAACCCAGTGAAGCCTTTAAATTGCAGTAAAGGCTGAATACTAGTATCTTGAAAAAAATATCTAGTCAAATATGTGCTGTCATCACGGCAAAGATAAAAGAACTCAGTTATTAGAAATTAGCTATTATATTTAAAATATGTATATAAACATATTTTCAATTAGCTTTGGCTCATCACATAACTTTAGGTCAGTGAAATATCTTATTAAACTTTGTAAGGTCATTAAGAGTCAATATTGCGCAAATATAGTGGACATGGGGAAGGCGCAAATGCAGACATCAGTTTTGGCCCACTGCTACATATTACAGAAAAATGATATATCATACAGAATAAATGTACAATTATAACACTGTTTCAGATGCATCTAAATATAACTTCTTATCTTACAACTTACTGTTCTTCATTGTTTTTAGGTGTCATGTTTGTAAAACATGCCTTTTCAACTTTCACAGAAACAGTGTTAAGCGGGACTACAGTTTCTCTTCTGTGTTCAAACATCCTGAAAGAGCCCAGTTATATGGCCTGGTTCAAGCAGACAGATGATTCTCTGCCACTCTGTATTGTTTCTCAATATGTTGGCCCAAATCCTGCTGACTCCATATATTTGAATGGATTTCAGAAAACTCATATAGAGATGTCAGTGAATGCAACGTTTTCTACACTGAGGATTATCAGCGTGGATGTTTCTGACTCTGGAATGTTTTACTGTGGAAGTTTTATCAAAAACCACATGAAGTTTCACAATCAAACACAGTTAGTTGTAGTAAATGGTAATGTTTAAATCTCAATTCGATCTATTATCATCTTTTAATTACTCCAATACTATTATGTGCTCTTGTTTTAAAATGATTATTAATTATTTATACGTTTTTAATCTTCAAAGTGACAAATCAGTTCAAGGAAGAAGATCAAAATACAGATCAAAGTATGTGTCACACAAACACACATAAAAAGCTGTTCTTTGCATTTTCTCTCTAAAAATGAAAAGTAATTCTGTTCTCTTTATCTGTCTCTTTCTGTTTTTGAATGATTTTAACAGGAACAACTGATCAGACGCCTACATCCTGCTTTTTATTTTGCACACTGACACTGATCTCGAGCGGCTTCATTTTACTTTCTACTGGTTTTGCTATTGTAGTCTTAATAAGGCTAAAGAAATCAAGTAAGCATAAAGGCATGTGAATCCGTTAAAATACACTGAAATACCCATCCAGCTTTATTAGTTCATTTAAAAATGGTATTGATGACTTTTTTTGTTTTGCTTAGATGCTGAGTTTCATGATCACAATGAAGAGTTACATCAGTTGCACAAGGTATTCCAAATTATTTAAAATATTTTTTAAAGTATTTTATTTATATATTTAATAAATTAATTTATTTATTCATTTATTTTCCAGAATAAAGATTCAGACTTGAACTTCGCACCTGTACATTTTGCTAAAAACAACAGTAGGCTCGTAAGGACTTTCAAGGATGATGAGACACATGTTGTTTATGCAATAAGATGATCTGCAGATTATCAGAAAACTATTTATAGACCATTTTGAAGGATGTAAACGATAACAATGGTCCCGACACATTTCCTGTTTTACATTTTAATTTCCTATAGCTTTCGAGAATCCAAAAAAAACAAAACAACACATATTGACAGTGGTGGAAAGAGTACTGAAAATCATACTCAAGTAAAAGTTCCATTACTTGTCCAAAAATGTAGAGCAGGTAGAATAAAAGTATCTGTTGTAAATATTACTCAAAGTATGAGTAAAAAGTAGCCCTTTCAAAAGTAATCACAAGTAGTGAGTATTGAGTATTACGCTGTAAAAAGCTGATGTGTTTACATGTAATGTGTGCATGTGTGTCAAAGTAACATTCTGTAGTGCATTTAGTTATTGTTTAAGGCCATTTCACGACACAGTCAACATCCATCATACAGTAAACATCCGTCATCTTCTCATCACTGTTATGACAGCTGTTATAACACTGAGTTAAGACTGAATTGCCTCTTGTTACGGTTATGAAATAGTTTGATATAAAGCAGGTAATGTTCATGGGCCAATGACTATGGAGCACTTAAGACTGATACAGGATGTTGTGAAGGATAAAATGGTTTAATTTTTAACAATTATTTACTTTAAACATTTATTTGAACTTGACTTTTTCAGTTGACTTTATTTAACGTGAAGTTTTTTTGTACACTTTACTGATGCAGCAATAGTCATTCTTACTATAAGTATTATTTTCACCAATTTCTCCATTAGCCTATGCGTGTACAAATTACATTCGCTAAATTTGCATACTAATCTAATAATATAATAAATTATTTCACTAATTTGAAATGTCATGTGGTTTTTGTGGCATGAAGTACATAATGTAAAGCAAGTGTCATTTCTAAACTCCAAACCACAACTCAAGTGAACTTCAACATCTCAATAATGATCCCTTATTAGTCAATGTCTCATATTAAATTGAATATTTACAAATGCACCTGTGGATTTTCTGACACCAATATTTGAACAATTTACAAAAGATAAATCATCTGTGATTATACGTGGAAATAAACATTACGACTATAAATGCAAATAATATTGATTAATTTACCACATGCTTTTTATGGACCCGAAATCTAGGCAGAAAAAGTCTGAGATTGACCAGCAGAACACAAGACCACTGCCACTGTGATGACCTGTTTTAGGATGTAGAATTGGCTCAGATGTCGTAGCCAGTAAGGAAAACATGTTAGTTCAGTTTTTGAATTCGGTTTTATTTAAAATATTTCTAAACATTTTAGTTATCATTTGTATGTGTTGGGGGCGGCGCAGTGGTGAAGTGGGTAGCGCCTTACAGCAAGAGGGTTGCCGCTTCAAGCCTATTCTGTGTCAGTTGGCGTTTCAGTGTGGAGTTTGCATGTGTTGGCAAGCACATCCTCCAGGCCTCCAGGTGCTCTGGTTTCCCCCACAAGACATGGGCTATAGGTGAATTGAGTTTGCTAAATTGAACGTAGTATGTGTATGAATGAGAGTGTATAGGTGTTTCCCAGTGATGGGTTGAAGCTGGAGGAGCATCTGCTTCATAAAACATATGCTGGATAGATTGCCGGTTCATTACGCTGTGGCGACCCCAGATTAATTAAGGGACTAAGCCAAAAAGAAAAAGAATGAATTTGTATGTTTCATTATTGTTATTTCTGGACGTGCATGTTAATGAGTTACTGTATCCTAATACTTTATTGATGAAGATCAGACAACATGATCTGACTGATCTGCCAGAGTGATCATTGAAAAGTGTTATGAATGCAGAGATATGCAATGCAGATTAGACAGTTGAGGTCATCGGACTTAAATCTGTGTTGACTTATATTCGACTCAGTTTTAAAATCTTCCAACATGACATGCTGAAAACATTTTTATGCCTGAGATATGTTCATGTATTTTATGCAGGACATTTAAGTTTTCATGCAAAAAAAAAGAAAGAAAAAAAGCATGCACTGCGTGTTAAAGGGATATTTCACCAAAAATGAAAATTTCATCCTTTACTCTCCTTTATGCAGTTTTTAACCTTTGCACTTCATTTCTCTGTTGAATGCTGGTTACAGACAACTATTGACTTCTGTAGACAAAAACAGTTACTATGGAAGTCAAGCAGCTTCCAGCATTCTTCAAAATATCTTCTTGTGTGTTCAACAGAGGAAAAAGGTTTTGAACAAGTGAAGAGAGAATAAATGATGACAGCATTTACAGTTTTGGGTGAATTCTCCCTTTAAATACTGATTTTCTCCACTGTTTCTGATATTGAGTATTGTGAAAATAAATGTTTAGAATTATGAAAAGACAGCTGTGGTTTTTACTAGTTTACCATGTTTTTGAAACTATAATATCAATATACACATTTATTATTAATACACAATCATACACTGTAAGTATGTTTAAGAAAACTTTACTAGCACCATTCCTCGGATCACAGTTTCAATTGTTAACTTTACTTAAATGACCAGAGTAAACGTGACTCAACAGAAGTTATAATTACTTTTAGTAAATATGAGCTGATTCTATTAAGTTAAGATTACTTAATTGAAGGCAATGAGTTTGCACAATTCAATTGAGTAAACTTAACAAATCACTTTTACAGTGCCGATGACGAGGTTATTCGATTTCACAGCATCTAAAAATGAGATTTAAGTCAACAACAAATTGAAGCAAATCTCTTATAAATGAATTTACATGTAAACAATTTTTTTTTCTGAAAGCCAAAAGTGATACAGCCTCTGTGGTAAAAATAAATGAAGTCATGTAATCTCTATTATACTTTTTTAACATTTTTTCATTTTGTTCATGCACAAACTCAGGTAATAATCAAGAACAAATATTGATTTGGATCATAAATTCATATCTCTGATACTTACACTGAGGAATGAGAGTGTATGAGTGTTTCCCTGTGATGGGTTGAGGCTGGAAGGGTATCCGCTGTGTACAACATGTGCTGAATAAGTTGACAGTTCATTCAACTGTGTCGACGCCTGTTTAATAAAGGAACTAAGCCAAAAATAAAATGAATTAATGAATGACTTACCCTGAGAAGAGGCATCCTCAACTGGTGGAACTGATTGTGTCTGTTACCCGCCTCAGGCTGAAGAGACCCAAACAGGTAAGTGAAATGTATAACTGCAGAGAAGTAAAGAAACAAATCAATACGAGCTCTGACGGTCTTTAATGAACTCTGCATTTTTTCTTCAAAAGGAAATACAAAACCTTTTTTTACTGAATAAAACAACAGTTTTTGGTTGTCACCATTGTAAACAATAAACTTGCAATAAACTGTATGTAACTGAATGTCCATCTATACAATAAAGTTCTTGTATTTTTGTGATCTGATGGCATATGTACTGTTCATTTTATCAGGCATTTAAATACTGTATACTTGTAAACAATCACATTACTGTTACAAATGCTCTCTTTTTTAACTAAAACATTTAGTTCACATATATAAAGATTATGACAAAACATGAACATTAATGTAACTACTAATATTTCATTAAACTAGTTTGCCTCTTTGTTTCACATAGACGACACCACTTTGGCTCTAACTCACATATTGTTGTCGCCATTTTGGCTCAACACTGCTTTTACCATCAATTCGTCTTACGACGATTTCTTACTATAATTACAATTGTTCACATTTTAAACTCTTCAAACACACTCATGAACTCATTTTGTGTAAATGCTTACTAATTCTGCTATGTTTCTTTGCACATTAGTTAAAAGATTACACAAGTTAATTAGTTCACTAAAATCACACAAAACCAATTAATTTCACAAGACTGCATAAATCTGCATTCCCATGTGTAACGAAACCATCCTGACCCATTTAACTTAATTTTAAGTGTTTATACAAACAATATTTCTCTTACCTGCAAAGAGGTAAAGAAACAAATCAACACGAGCTCTGACGGTCTTCAATGAACTCTGACCCGAGCTGCTCTGTTCAACATTTTTTTATCCATTAAGCGCCCTCTACAGGATATACAAAAAATAACTTTTGTGGTGTCAAACCACGTCCTGGATGCAGTGGCGCCCCCAGAATTTCTTTTTAGGGGTGGCCAGAAGAGGCCACACCATATCTTGAGGTAGCACACACAAAAACAATTATGAATTCAGTGTAATGTTATATTTTTGTTACTGGTAAATGAAATAATATGGTTTTAATTAATTAATTATTCTTGAAATATTCCAATTTATTCCTTGAAATAATTCAACAAGTACATGTGCAAACCAAATAAATTTCATTAGTTAGTTTAAAAACATCTTTTATATGTATAATCATCTTTTCAGTTATTTTTCCATATACTTTTATTGTACAGCATACAGTAAAGGCTATGCCATGTCTAAAATTAATGAATTAATATACAAAAACACATGAATAAACTGAACAAAATACATTACTATATACACACTCACTATACAGACCCTAATAATATCATTTATCGTTTTTTTTTTTTTTTAATTTTTAGCCACAATATTATTAATGCAGCTTCTTCTATTGATATACCCTGAGGTATAAATGCTTTTGCTGTCTAATGAAGGTGTGTGCGTACTGTCAACGAGGATCGGGGAGGTGAAGGGGCAATGAATTAGTACGTCAGTGGCACCAATCAATCCACAATATTTTAGTGGCAGCATTTTATTTAT